AGCTCGTCTTAGAGCTGAAGCCACTAGATTTTACCCTCAGAAGTTGGTGGAGAACAAATACAGAGCTAAAAGAGAGTAAGTGGTGGATGTGTAAATAAGCAACTGTTTGCTAACTAGTTAACCTAGCAACTTAAAATACCATGATATGTCAATGTTGTGTTTACAACCTGTTTCCACTGTCCTCATGTGGCTGTTGTTGTAGCTTTAAACAGTGCTGCTGTTGTAGCTGCAAAACTGCTACCCACACATTGATGCATCAGAATTAACGATCTAAGCCACAGCAGACATTTTGATGCAGAACAAGTACTTTTCAACATTTGCGGCATTTTGGTTAGCACTGTCTCCTCACAGCAGGATGGTCCAGGGTTCGAACTTTGGTCATCCCAGGCCTTTCTCTGTGGAGTTTGCATGTTCTCCCCGTGTCTGCATGGATTCAGTCCAAAGACATAAGTAGTTTCGGTTCAGCTGGTAATAATGATGGATAGAGTACATTTTGCTGATGGCTTTTTTTTTTGCTGCTGTATTCTTAATTAAAGGCATAACAAGAAAGGAATTCCCAAAAAAAAAAAAATAAAATAAAAAAAAAATAATTTATAGACTCATATAAAATGAATCCCTCTCAATCATCACTTATGACCCACTAGAAGTGTAGGACGGTGTCTGCAGAGACTCTGTCCTCTGTCTGTTTAAAATTATTTTGCCATGTTAGGGACGTTTCTGGACATCAGCCTTTGGGCAGCGAGCAGGTTGGCTGTATCTCCAGCACTGGCACAGTGCTAAATGAAGTGTGGAGATAGGTCTGCCTATGCAAGACAATGGATGTATAAAGAGCTGCAGGTCTGTGTGTCTGTTTGATGGAGGGTGGGGCTGAGCAACATGCTTTACCTGCAGGGTTTTTGAGGAGGTGTGGCTGTGTTTATTTGTGCTTTAGAATGTAACCGCAGTGAAACAATCAGAAAATAATGTTTCATTTCTCTGATTCACTGTTTTGTTGCCACTCCCTCTCTTCATTTACTTTCTAGCTCGCTCAACCACTGCTGTTCTCCCTCTCTCTTGCTCAGTGGTTGTCCACCTTTTTAGGGCCAGCGCCCCCCTATCCATTATCTAGGTCCCTTACCACCCCCCATCAAAAAAGATGTTGGCTATTTGCCCTGAATATTGTTATTAATATTATTGTTACTGATTTATTACTTTCCAAGAGAAATAGAAAGCTATGTAAATAGTAATTATATTTATTTAAAAAGAACCTGTCCTCCTAGAACATGTGTGTGAACTCAGATACTGGAGGTGGCACTTAATAACTGGGGGGTCTGGGGGTCCACCCCCAGAGGATATTGAGCATTAAAGACTTAATTTCCTGCATTCTGGTGAAAATTTCAGCTCCCATTTCTGACTTTTCTGCACCAATTTCTGATGGACATGTTTTTATTTCTATAAAGGAAACACAAAATACAGGTGACAATTAAAAATATGTAAATATAATGAAATATAATGCAGTAGGCTCTCAGGCTTCTTATTTGCTTTTAAAAAAGTTTCTCCTGTAGATCAACTTATTTAATATCATCCCTGCTGAGACAACAAAGAAATAATTTAATCTTCCCTTCTCTTTTGTGTTTTGTTTGGGTAAGTAAACTCTTTAAATGTGATTGTGGCACCTTTTCACCAAAACGAAACTAATCGACAACAAAGTGCAGCTCACAGTCCCGAACGGAGCAAGGCTGCGCCTCCGTTTTTGACATTACATTTTTATAGTTAAAAGTCTACAAGTCATGTTACTGCTTGGGCACAAACTGGTTGTGAAACACAGTGCGAGGTGGGTCCACTTCACGGCACTTGCTGGCGTACCAGGTGCTGGATGCTGGATGAAGTAGCTTTCAGGGGAAGTCTGACAGCGGAATATCCCTCTTATAAATGTGTAACCACTGCAACAAGGCGTTCACAGTGTATTCTTCAGATAAATGAACGCTTTACCACAATAAAACCAAGAAGGAGGACGTCCATTTTCCAGAGTTTACACAGTAAACACCATGTGGGTGAAATTTTACAGATGATCCTCTGACTTCCCGTTCCCATGCAGGCAGCATGGAGCTGCGACACAAGCAGCTGACAGAAACACTGAAAATAAGAAGACTTATGATACACACCATCTCTTCTAGTTGCAGTGGAGTAAACTGGCAGGTTTTAATGTTGCAGGCCACAGTAGTTGAAAGTTTAAACTCTTATTGTTGTGATTATTTTGTGTAAACTTGCCTTAAAACTTTCACCTCGCCCCCCCAAGAGCAGCTCAACGCCCCCCTTTCCAAAATATTGCTTCCAGCACCCCCCTTCATCTTCTGAACACACTCTGGTGGGCGGTACCGCCCCCACTGAGAAACACTGCTCTAGCTGGTTGAGCCTGGTAGGAGTGGACAACTTAAAACAGGATTTTTACTTGTATTTTTACACTCTGGTATCTGTAGCCTACTTTCACATAAAGCATTTGAGTATTTCTTCCACTACAGCCTTTCATTAGGATCAGTACAAAAAAGACTGTATTACAAACACACTGACTGTGAATATTAATTTATTTACCCACTGAGGAGCCTCAGAAGTAGCTGGTTGTTACTCGCCTCATGCTTGATGCTGTGTTATTTCTCATTTTCTCTCTCTGTAGATGAGCCCCTCTCCCTTACCGGAACTGCCATGACTGCTTCATTGTGCATCATGAAAAAAGCTCAAAATAGCCCCAGTATTTCACAAGCTATAAACGCTTTTTAAAATTAAACATTTCTAATATCTATTACCACAGATTGTAAAATGCCTAATTACCCATTGAAGTATCACAGCAATTAAGCAATCACCATATTCACTCATGGAGTGTGTTTTCCACCCTATAGGGCAATAATGGAAGACATCAATTGAGCATTTAATTATTGTAAAGATGTAAACCCATGATTTAGAACCTGCTGAGAACTGCAAGCCCAATAATACATGCGTATGGTGCTTTAAATGTATTGCTGTTGTTGAAGCTTATTCGCTGATATATGAAAAACTTGTTGAGATTCACTGGAGTCTTCTTAAACTGCAGTGTGTGTGATACTGCTGACGGTGCTCAAGTATGACGGGTGCCTGCTTGCATATACCTTGAGGAGCTCTACTGAATATGCAGCTCCTCCAGCTGGCCTTTTGATGTTCGTTGTGAAAGCCCCTTATTAGGATCAGTAGAAAACAAAATAAATAATCTGTGAGTGAACTCGTGCTGGAAACAAATGCCGGGGAGAGATGTCATAAAAATGCAACTTTCACCACAAAAGATATCACAGATGTGCTCAAGGAAACTTTGTGTAAAAAAAAAAGAGGCAAACATTTTCAGATGCTTTTAGACACAGAGAGAGCGAGCAGAACAGCAAAGGCAGAGGGGTAAAGATGGCTGATGAAGAGCAGGGGTGCAGATGGAGGGCTTGTGTGTGTCTTTGTGTGTATCTGTACTGTGCGCACGGGGGGGAAATAACAGTATCTGAATGATGGGTGTGACAAAGGCTGATGTCTACTCAGGGCCCTTGTGGCTCCAGTAATAAAGATAGTGTGGCTCAAAGTGGTTTCATTTTGCTTTAAAAGATCCTTAATCTCTCCATAAATGGCATCTTTGGCTCCCAGTAATGAGAGTGAAAAATGCAGACTGTTTGTGGCAGTGCCACTGGGATTTGACTGGTCGTGTCAATAGAGAAAAAGCTGCTGAGCTTAAATGTCAGGAGAGCTTGATGCAGTTCCCATCGTTTATTAAAAACATTTTATAAAACATTCAGATATGATCCATTGCTTGTACTTAGCTTGTGGAAATTACAGCCTGGTAGCTCTCAGCACCTAGGAGGCAGAGAGAAATTATAAATATTATCCGCTGTGAAAAGCTACAGTATCTTTTAGTGCAGATACAATATTGGAATACCCTTTTCCTGGTGATGTTTCTCTGGTCATCAACAGCACAAGTCATTTTAACTGGATTGTCAATGTGTGTTGTGTTGTGCTCCCGCCAAGCTCTGATCTTTTTTTTTTTTTTAAATCAATGCTTTCCAAAAACGAGGGCAATTTGTGGAGCTCACATAAAAAAAATTGTTCTCTGCTGCTGGGTGTCATATCTACACTGTAGCACATGAACATACAGGTTGATGTATGTTTATTTATACTCACATACATTAAGTTTGATCAAAGTATGCGATTATGTGTCAGCGTGACGGCTCATAATTTGTCGATCTTCATCTGCCCAAGGACCATAAAGAATCGACCATGGGATAATGAACCTGTATTACACACCTGAAGCTTAAGAAGCAACTTCAAGGACGTCTTACGACCTCCTTTGCTCACACATCTCATTATGGCCAGTGAATGGTTAAGGCTGGGGATTAAGGTGACAGAGCTTATTCGACCAACACTGCCACATCAGTGGAGCTGGAAGGTCAAGAGGGTGCAAAAAATATTGTTGGAAGCTGGTTCATATTGTGTTTCTGCTCCTTGATGCCTGTGACCCACAGTTGTATTGTTTTTCCCCCTATCTTTATTCAAGAGCATGGTCTTTCAATCTGAGAGAGCATGAGTCATTGCTTTCACATTCAGATTTTGTAACGCTTTCCTTCAAACCCTGCCCTTGCACTCAAATAGTCCCTTTGTTCTGCTGCTCAAACTGTATAGTCTATTTACCAGCCGAAAGAGACCATTGTTTTATGCTAAAATGTACAGTCTGGGGCCCCAGCATGTAGAAATTGCTGGATTCTTGCCATTTTTGCAATTTGTATAATAAGCATTAATTAGCATAATAACAGATAAGGTCAATATTTAAGCAACTGCTTGGCTGATTTGGACAATTTTTGAGTGGTTTGGGGGGTTATTGAGGAAGCAAAATGGCCTTTTAAACCAGAAGTGAACAATTTTAATGAATTTTGAGTCAATTTTGTGTCACAAATGCTAGCAGGGTAGCTGGATAACAAAGGCATGGACCCAGTAGCAGACATCTGAGGCAAAGCAGGTACAGTTCAGTGATTTATTTAAACGATGAAACAGGGACAAAAGGCTTACTGAGTGGTGGAGGTGAGGAGGCAAAGATAAAAAAACAGGAAGCAGTCCAATACAGGCAAACAAATCCAACAGGTAGAAGGCTAAGAACAAAATCTAAAATCCAGGCAAGGGTCATAACCACCAGCAGTTCAACAAGGCAAGCAAGTCCAAAGGGTACAGGCAAGGATCCAAGCGAAACACAAAAAACCACTGGGAGACAAACACTAGGAAAATGGCTGGAACGTACGTAAGTGAAAAGATACTGACGAACTGGCAGAGAGTGAGGGGAACAGATAAATTAAAAACCCTAGTGAGAAGGAGATAACGAGACACAGGTGAAACGATTAGGGAGGAGAAAATAATCAAAGCATATTTGGTGCAAGCATACAGTCTGAGCAGAGGCAGGGCAAATCTAAACACAAGCAGGGGCTATTTGAGTGCACAGGCAGCAGAAAAGCATTAAAAAATCTGAAAGTGAAATCAGTGCTCTCAAATTGAAAGACCATGCTCTTGAATAAAGATAAAGAGGGGGGAAAAAACATATATGTTTGGCTATTCCTGATGTGCACCATTTTGAAGCAAAGGAAACAATTAGAAGAAATCACGTGTCTGCTGTGTTTGAATCTAATAAACACAATATTCGTTGCTGCTGTATATGAATGTGATTTTTTATTGATCCCTGCAGGAAAACTCTCATTTTGCTTGCTGCAGCTCACAGTGTAGATGAGAGTACAGTCGTGGAGATTCTTGCCTTCTCAGGATTTGAACCTTAAACCTCTCTGCTTGAGGGTGATCTTCATTCTGCCAGCAAGCCTCCATCTTTACTGAAATGTAACATGCTATTTTACTTTATTGTGCTGAGCTTATGCTAAGAAAAATCTCTTAGATTTTGAAGTAAACCACTCCCTTTTTTCTGTTATCCATACACATGCAAATCACTGATGCAAGAGGATGATGCATAAAACAGAATAATAAAATAAAATAAAACTGAACATCTGAAAACAACATGGCTGATTCCAAAAACAGCAAAAAGAGGTAAGTCAACGTGTCGCCCTGCTTCCCAGGAGCTGTCAAGTGTAACAGATGTCAGCGTGGCCTCTGTCCAAATGACCACAAACCAATGTGGCTACTTAAACCTTTGGACATCTTTGCTTGAGCATGTTGTTTTGTTTCATTAATGTGTGAGCTCCTCTTGCATCTACTCTGACCTCTGACCTGTTTTATATGTCCAGCTATGAGAGTGTAGCCCAGGATGTTCTTCTGTTCCCCGAGGGTATGTGGAAAAATTGTGGACTAACTCAACGATTGTGATAAAATGGAAAATATTATTTGAAAAAGAAATTCATCCACATATTGAGTCAGCTGTAACATTCAGACTGTGTGAAAACTATTTAGCAAGAACACAGAGAAGTCTTAAGAGCTTAAAGTGATGTTGAAATAGTTAGCTCAAAGTATAACTGCTAAATCAGACAGCTAAGGACAATGGATAATGTTTAAAGGACTTTGTGGTGGGCATATGTCTAACAAAGGTTAGGGAGCCACTGGTGTAGATTAACAATGTGCTATTTTCCATTTCCCAATATCAGCATGCACCTCATATTTGTATTGTAAGTATTGATAAGACCTAAATTTGTCAGCACAATTAAGGAGACAGAAAGCGTTTGCCAGTATTGAGTGCAAAGAAATGGGTAATTAGCTGATGGCTGACTCAGGCCACTTGCAGCTTTGCGTGTCAGGGTGGGGATGGAAAAAACGATGAACCGCATCTCCACGGGTGTCATAAAGCTTTGCTTTATGGCCAGTTTGTGTAGCTGTGCAGATTAAGTTCAAAGAAAGACGGCCGCTCTTTTCTCCATGCATCTTAAATCCTTAGCTGGATCTGTAGATCAATTCTTTGGGCTGCGCTGAGATATCCCTGGTGTCAGCAGCTATAGGGCAGCTTTATAGGAAGGAGGACTGGGTGTCTAAAAATACTTTGTTAAAGGGACAATTTTACCTCAGATTTAATAATGCTCACAGAGCAGTGTGACTGTTCCACTCAAATTGCATACTTTCCTTCACTCTGGAGTGGCTTTCTTCAGCGGCATAACCATTAAAGCTCATAGCTCCCAGCGGGCTACAGTTGCAGCCTCCATAGGAAAATGCAATGCAAGCATTTGAAAGGCAAGAAAATCACAGTCAATCAATGGTTCGGCTATGATTCATGCTACGAGTTCTTCCTCAGAAACTACTTCAAGCATTTATCTCAAGAGAGCAGCTCTATGTGGAAATAAATGGGCTGGTGTCTGGAGATGGCACGCATCTTTTTTTCTGTTTAGACACAAAGACTAATTTCAAATGGTGGAACTGGCAAAGAACCTGCAGCTGTCTAATCTCTGACCATACTCCACTGCAGACCGCCGCTGAATGATCCTGGTATTACTCTTTTAGGTTCAAAGCTTACTCAAAATGAAACACAGTGTGAGCAGTGTGTTCAAAAACATATCTGTCACTACAGACACATCAAACGGATAGAAATTTGGCTGAAAGACAAACCAAATGAATTGTAAACCAAAGGGATTAGAAGAGAAAAGACAATGAATTTGCACCATTCTCTGTTTTTAGTACTAAAACTCAAACACTTATCTGCCTGCCTCTCAGGATTGAAGAAATAAAAAAACACATAAAAAAAACGTGGTTGCAAGAAGATTTCAGTAGCGTGGTAGACATGTATTACTTACATATGAATAATTTATTTTAAAAAGTCTAAAAAATATAAACGGTATAGTTACACTGACAAAAATGTCCAAACACATCCAGTACATAACATTTGCGCACTTGCATTGTAACAGTTTTTACAGTATTTGTAAATAAGCGTTTTTAGTAAAGAAAAAACATTTAGTCTCATATTCTCAACATCTTCACGTAGAAATTAGAGCTGCTGTACTCTGCAGAAGATTGCACCGGTGAAGATTTTCTACCTACGACGTGACATTTTAATCCTTTTCTTAGATGCATTAGAGATGCTTGGAGGGCAAGCCCTATAATTTCTATTCTTTTCATTTTTTTTTTTAACTAATAAATCCCCCTCGCTTCCTGTGTGTCTCACTGACATCACTTTTTGTCTGATTAAAGGTCAGATTAACTCTGAAATGGTACCTGGACTCTTTCAAGTGTCTTTTGAAATGATGAGAAAACTGAATGATGAAAAAAAAAACAGCATGATAACCTAGTGATCATTTCAGGATGCTGTGTTTTGCTCTACAGGTACAAGAAGAGTTTTTCATCAACAAATACAGCAGTATTGACTAGCAACTCACACGCTTGAAATTTGGCACTTAATATCTTTAACAAAACAATAAAAAATTAAAATACAAGTGATATTAAATTACTTTAGGCATTATTACAAATTAAGATTAATTACATTCATTTTATCAGCATCATGACAGAGAGGAAAGTCAGCAGAAATGAATATGACAGATTTTTTTAAAAACCTTTACCAAATCTACCATGTGACTGGTTGAAAGGTTCTGTGTTCCACCAAACTCTGGGACAAGTTTCTGAGTTCAGTTGCAGAGTGAACCTGCTTGTATCCCAGAAGAGCCAGAGTGTCATTGCACAGATTCTGCACAGTCCTCACAATGTCAAATCCGAGACGTAGCCTCCAGCTCTCTGCTGTGGCTCTGGAGTCTCTTGTGGTGGAGTACCTGTAGTTCCACTCAGACGGAGACGAAGCGTTACTGTTGGTGTTCTTTGCAATCCACATCCGCACACTGTCCTCCATCTCCAGCCCCATAAATCTATAGATCTCAGTGGCCTTGTCCTTCGGGTTGAACGCCAGGTCCTCGTACCGCACCAGCAGGTAGCGTCCCCGCAGCCATGCCGGTCTTTGCAGGCCTGTTTCTGCAGAGGCCACCATGTCCTTACAGGTGCTGGTGATCTGCGACAGGTCCACATATCGAGGCTGCCGTCCTGTCACGTTCCATATTTTCCAGGCACGGAACTGGTCTGAAAACGCCATCATGCGTGAGGCAAGGATGGCTCTGGGGTCTCTCACCAGGTGAATGATCTTCAGGTCCAGACGTGGATCTTCTGTCAGGGTCCGCAGGTCCCCCACCTCAGGGACCCGCACAGTCTTTATGGCTACGTGTCCTCTTGACAGACATGACATAGAGGCTAAGGTGAGGTTGAGGGCCCCACACTTCTTAGGACACCAGGTTTCATCAGGCGGATCGGACGCCGCTACATCTCCTCCTTCCATGCACACGGGACGGGAACAAAGGGCGTGGCTGGAGCTTCTGCGGAAGAAGGAGTTTGTGACATGGTCCTGGGGCTCTGGACGGATGTAATTCTCCATGAAGTGAAGGTCACAGGTGTACAGATTGAGGAGGAGGTCCCTGTATGCTCCGAGTAAGGCCCTGCGATCCAGGGTGCGACGCAGCCTGCTGCTGGAGTTGGTGAAGGCTTGCTGGACATGATAGAGAGGTTCAAACACATAGAATATCCCTGGGTGCTGGTTGAGGAGCTGCCCGGTGAAGGAGGAGCCGCTGCGCGTGGTGGCAAACAGCAGGATGTGCTTGCGAGGCGACTCGTCGAGCATCCAACTGTCTTCGCACAAAGCTCTCCACCTGGAGTCTTAAAGAAAGAAACAAAAAAGTCAAATGCTTTACATTCAACTCATATGATCTGATTCTGACGTCAAATGGATCACGTTTTCTAAGAACAGGCTAAACAACAGCTTTGAATAACACGTTACACAACCTGCTTAAGCAGTTTCCTACTTTCAAATTCTGGTGAAAAAGGAGGAATCAAACTAATTTCACAGGAGTTACTTCAGCTCATAAAAGTGAAAGTGAGTCAGTTTTCGACATAACTCCAAGCCAAGAGAAAGTGAACTACTGAATCAAGCCAATAAAGCCTAAATAATTTAGAGGGTAAACATGCATGAGTAAGTAGCTTGTCTGCCGGTGGTTACCGAGGGGGTTTATGAAATGGCGGATCTCTAAATATAGCACAAATAGCTAACGTGTAATTACTGCTGATGAGGAGTTGATTGCAAAGTGGATGTTACTTTTGTACGCAGGAGCGCGGCGGCGGCAAGCCACAGCTGTGCTGTGAGGGGGGATTAATGGAGATAAATTGGAGGATAATTGTAAAACGAATCACACATATTTCATTTCTCTACCCTTCATACTTCTTAGGAATTCCCTCATTTAATGATCTGCTTTTCTTTTTCTTTTGCTTCAGTCACACTGTGTTGCCACAGCTTGATTCTTGATTCTTTCTGAGCTAAATCTCTTTGCATGAGGCTTTCCTCCAAACTGATAATACTAATATTATCGATATTACTAACATTACCAATCAGGTGTTGAATGTGTGTCGGTGCATGCCCTCTGCCGGTGCTGTACAACCAAAGTCTGTAACAATACACATACATCTCAAGGTATTTGTGTTACTTATGCAATAAATATAAGCATACATCTGTACACTGCAGCAGCTATACATGCTATGTCTTCTTGTAGCGAGGCAGTACAGTGAATGTGGGACAATCTTGACTGGCTGTCGAGGCGTACCTCTGTGGTGTCTGGTCTGGCAGCGGTAAGCTCCCTGACAGGGTCCAGACAGCGAGTCCCTCAGGGTGCGGATGGCCGTGTACTGGACCCCCAGAGACGCACAGACCAGCAGCAGCACCGTCTTCCAGGAGCACTCCATCCTGCCCCCCCCTCTGGCTCTACATCCTTCACGCTGACGCCGCCAGGGAGGCACAGAGACAAACACAATGAGATTTCATTTTGATGCATTTTTTCAGTTTCATACATGTGCATCTCCCACTCATTTAAGCCTACAGCCCTCTACTGATGGCCAGTGAGCAGCTCTTACTGGTGCAGTTAGGACTCTTTCTCAAGGGCGCTTAGACAGCAGAGGGTAAAATATTTTCCATTAAGATTTCCCATCCAGATCTCCCTCGCAGAATGTGAACCTTCTTCCTACAATTTCAGTAGCAACAGTGTTTTCTACTGATATAATATAATAATAGTTAAACATTCTGGGAAATATCCTTATTTGTTTTCTTGCTGAGAGTTAGATGAAAAGATACCACTCATGTCTTTATGGTTAATATGACAGCAGTCAGTTAGCTTAGCTTAGCCAGGGACCAGGGACAGGGGGAAACAGCTAGCCTGGAACTGTCCAAAGGCCACAACACGAAAGGCATCCTACCTCTAAAGCTCACTAAATACAACGTTATATCTCTTTTCTTTCACCATACTGAAAGAAAAGCGTCAAAGTGACAGTTTGTGTTTATATTGGGGAGTTAAGAGGCGTTGCTAGACAGGTCTGTATGTGTTTTGGTTGCTGTCCAGCCTTTGTGTCTGAATACTGTTGAATGAATGAATGAAATACAACTATTTATTACGTTTGATAAAGACAGGCGACTGTGTGTATAAAGTGCAGCTCGGAAAAGACAACCACATCAGGCGTGAACATGCATTCTTATGCGCATGCACAAAATTAAACTTTCGCATTCCAGCAGCAACCTCTGCACAGACCAGTCAATATCACACACGGATGTGATGGCACTGCTCATAGGCGCATAGCATTAAAACTCTAGACTAATGCAAGATGGAAAGCAGTAGATTCACATTGATTAGCGGGGCAGGCTGGCAAATATATGGACATCTCTCAGTAAATAGTGAACATCACGCATTCAGTCAAGCCATTGTGAATGGGCCTGATGCAGCTGATAGCATTTATATCTAGCAAGTATTGTTATCTATAATTTACAGGTGCTTAAGTTTGTCAGTAGAGTTGATGCCAGATCTTAAGCCAGTACAAGCACAGTTGATCAATGTTCAGCCTCAACCACTACGAGCACAGAGAGATATGTACAGCCAGCATCAGATACAAGCATCTCAGACCCTAATGGAACAGTTGCTACTCCACCAAATGACCCAGCAGATTGGCCCCCAGTCTTAACAGACTTTATGAGGATTGAGTTTGTGTGCAGCGGTCCATCCAAACCAGCAATGGATTTTTCATTCAGGATTATTACAAAGATAGACTGTTCTAAAGAGGGAGGATTGTAGTGAGAGCAAGTTTTGTTACCTTTGGACAGAGCCAGGCTTGCTGTGTCCTAGCAAGGCAGGCCACTAAACAAGAGTATTTATCAAACATTAAATGTCAAACTATTTATTAAAAGAACATATGCAGTGTTTCTTTAAAAAACACAGATTCAAGAAAAGGTTGCTCTCTCTCTCTCTCTCCAAGCAGAGGAAACAGACAGCACCTTTTAACATTTCCAACGTAAGAAGCTTAAATGCTTTGAATAAACAGTTTAAAGGTTTGGGATTTGTCTCCTAAAGGATCCAAAGATTTGTTCTGCAGGAAAACACGACTCAAAGGTCAGACTTTTGGAAATGGTGGCAGCAATGTCACTATCTATAATAGCTCCACTATTCAGGATACCGTGCACAAGCTTGCATAATTGCATTTCATTTTTGCTTTCCTCTCTTCTGGGTAATTAAGCCTCTAAGCCCAGCAGAGAGTTACATACCCAGATAAATATAGCTGTCTTCACATGAGTGGATAAGTTTCCTTTGTACACTTCCGAGTTCTTTGCCACTGGGCATGAAAGAGCAAAGGGAGATGTGATTTTCCAAATGGATTTTTAGAAAAAAAAAGGTGCTGCCATCCATTTGTCCCTGCATGCACCAAACTGATGGTAGGTAATCGCATGAGATCCTGGGTGCAAATTGTGTCTCCATCACTCAAAAAGTGGCTGCGTGGAGGCAATCATCATCAAAACCACAGGTAAATATACATCGTATTACTGACAAAAATAAATATCACCTTCCTGTTTGCTTCCTCACCCTCTTTCTGTCACTCTGTCTCTCTCCAGTCTGCCTCTTGTTCATTAATGATGTTTATGTGTCCCTGGTAGACCCATGTCCTCAGGAATGTATCACACTGAGCTGAGATCGGCTTTTGATGTTCCATTAATCACAAACAGTGCAAAACCAAAGACATTTACTCCGTGGGTGAGGGGAAAAGAAATCGAGCTGAAATCATGAGCCATTCTGTTTGAAAAAACAGCATTTGCAGAATTAACTCATCCGGGGGAGAAACTTTGTTTCTTTCTGGCAGCAGACAGGATGACAGAAACAGGGACACTGTAATGTTTGTCTCGTGTTTCTGAACAACTTTAAAGCTGCTTGTTTTGTTTATGCGTTTGTTAAAGGACAAGAGAGATGGATGAAAAGGCAGAGAAATATAAGCACGAATGACTGCAGATAATTGGAGACTTTGACCAAGCTTCTTACCATCTCTGACACTTAAGAAAAATAGAAAATTGACAGTCCTGCCATCCATACCCTACATGTATTGCACAGCTGGCTGACCAAGGCACATCATTTGATTCCTCAGTGACAGGTTTTGTTTTCCTTTCCAGTCGTGATCAGGGCTCAGTGCTCCTCTGCTACACACCCTGCCGCCCTCTGGAGAATGAAGACAGATGCTCCAATGGATTAAAGCAATTTGATTTGCAAGTCCTCCTTTCTCCCTGGCTTATAACTCCTCCCACATGGGGACTCACGCCAGGAATAATAGACACTCTGTCAACAGTTGGAAGGTGACTGTGAGCTTTAGATGGTCTCAGCTTTTGTATCCCTCATACAATAACAGTGCTTATAGGAGTTAAAAACCTCAGGGACAGGATCAACCAAAGATTACACTGTGCGGTGCACGCACCTCTGGCAGATTTGACTTGTAAATTCAGTGAGCACAAGTGTTACTGCTGGTGAGATAACATAGCTAGCAGCAAAAGTGTTGGAGATAATGACTTTTGTGCATGGTGCAGGAAAGGCAGTTGTCTCTGTGGAGAATAAAGGCAACAAATGAGGTTAGTGATGAGGGTGGGACTGAGAGACTTGCGATGCAAGTGATTGAGGGATGTGACAGTGCCAAAGATTTTTCTATTAAGGCACCTCAGTGTGCTCACAGATCCTCTGAGTGAGGCTGTTTATTGGCAAGGCCTGATGATCAATCCTGCGAAAACAGAGAGTCGAGCAACAGTATCGCAACAAAGAGCATCACGCTTCCAGTTAGCTCTGTTCCCCATCCATCTTTCTCGTTCTCTCTCTAAAACAACACTACACACACACAGTACCACCGTCGGAGAGCACAGCGCTGCAGCGCGCAGTGGAGTTGCATCTGGCCCCGGGTAACAGAGGAGAGAAGATGAATCTTGTCCTACATGATTCCCCCAGCACACACATGCGCGCGCGCGCGAGTAAATGCACTGAGACGAGAGGAAGGAAGAATGAAGGAAAAGGTCAGCACTTCATCTGATCTTGTCCGTGGTGAATATGTTTCCTTTAAAGGATGCCCTGTAAGTTGTTGTCACTGACTGTTTAGTTCATTCACAGAGAGAAAAAGTGCGCGTTGTTAAAGTGAGAAAATAATGTAAAGTTTAGTGATGATGAAATGAAGGAATGGACGATGAAATGGGTGGATTAGGAATAAGAGACCCGCAACTTCTGAACTAAATCTACACGATACAGTAGTGCGAGTCTTAGTGGCACTAACAGCGATGGAGAGCGTAAATTAGCATCCTTTATACTGTAAAATTTCCAATAGAAATAATAGAATAATAATAGAAATTCAATCTAAAACACATCGGGGTTATCACTTAACAAACAACAGTATTATTCTTTTAATAATGTTAGGATAATAAAATTAACAGATTGGATCACCACAAAACAAAGCCAATGCGAAGTAGCTTATTATAGTAAAACCACAGCCGATAAAAGTAAGGTCACTATAAACTCACCATTGAGTACCGCGGGCGCACTTTAAGTAGCTGTGAGGAGAAATCGTTGGCACATTTACTGATTTTCCTCCTCATCTTCTCACTGCTATGATACTCTTTGTCAGATCAGAGCATCTTGTTTGTTAGATAACAGCTCGCTGCGCGTAAAATGCACAACAGGATGAAAAACACATTTGTGTTGCCTTACCATGGACGCGCTCGATCAGATAGGATTTCTCTGTCCGGTCCAGTCGTCTGCGCTGCATTTGTAAAAGTAGGAGTGTGTGTGTGTGTGTGTGTGTGTGTGTGTGTGTGTGTGTGTGTGCGTGCGAGCGAGAGAGAAAGAGAGAGCCGAGCGCTGCCGCCGGTGTCCAGAGCCGAAGTGGATTCAGAGTTGGAGATGCGCCATGTATGGAGAGCAGCGAGAGGCTGAATGAGGATGCATGTCTCACCCCTCCAGAGACCACACAGGCTACTGGAGCCGAGTCTCTAGACTGGATGCAAGATTGCCGTGCCGTGCATCACACCTTGATGCCATAGGGTACGTTTTATTGCGTCTTGGGAATGCATGCGATCTTAACAGGCAGTAAACAGAACTTACACGGTGAGATATCACTAAGTAAAATTTTGTGTTGCCATCTTAATTTAATTTGTTTTACACTGCATGAGAGGACCAGAAATGTCTCATATTTTATAGAGGCAGGTTTCATCAGCTCCAGCCAGGCATCAACAATCGCTTCAGCATCCCACCATGAACATCAGTGTCATCCCCCCTCTCTCTGTCACTGTTATGTTCTCTGCAGGGATTCTCACTATACCCACAAATGGAGCCCCCCCCCCCCCCCCCCCCACACACACACACAACTCTCCCATGACCTCTATTTTTCCTCATTCCAGTGAGGATGACTGCTATCATGAGATGTGTGGCCCTTTCCTCACTCTGCTGCTGGCTCCCTGGTGTGAAAGGATGGGTGCCATATCATTGCCCCCAGGGGGGTCACCGTGGAGTCAGATTTAGCCAGTGACAGCTCCATTACTCCTTGGAATGGGGGTCGATTCTGTTTGCGGTCTTATCTCCAGCTGTGGCTAAAGTGTGTCTTTACTGTGATTCACAGCAGAGATTGGTGGAATAATGTTGCTGTCTTTGCTGCATCTCAGTTCTCACTTGCATACTGTCTGCTGCTGGATGAAATTCCAAAGCATCGGGAGCCTTAAACCTCCTATCTGTGGGGGATTAGTTGTTCCAACTTTTCTGCCCTTATCAGCTAACCTGTGTTTAAACCTTTCAGGCGGTACAAGTGAATACACCAAAGCAAAAGGCAGGCAGAAATTATCTCAGAAATAGGAACCGGAGGGGCTGGAAGTCTACCTACACAGATACAGAACAAGCTTTTTCTGGTGATAGAGGGCTGAGGCACATTACCAGCCAAAGGTCTTACTGTGCAAGCAAATACAAAGGACAACAAGCTGCTAAGAATGCCTGGTGAGTGATACAAAAGTGTCCTGTCCTCTGCACCTCTCTGTGCTGATCCCTCGCTTTGCCTGCCTACAGCATCCATTCCCCGGTTCTGAGCAGAGAACGCCCCCGCACCTTCTTGGTGAGATTTGAAACAGGCAATAAGAAAAAGTTGAATTTTCTGTGAGCAAAAACTGAATCCTCCACGGGCCTCCCTGTTTAGCTATACCCACACTTGCTCCTCACCACGCACACACGTAAAGCGCACATAATCAAATGAGCATTAGAGATTTAGAGTGACTTTCATTTTTCCTTTCCAGCACTATCAGGCTCTTAACAAATGTCTCACCAATGTGGGCTCTTTCTTCCCCCTTATCTCTATGATCCACCCGATATCTGATCTTTAACATGACAGCAGTCTTTCATCATAAAGTGGATGGAAATGCACAGCTGAAATCTCTCTACTGTTCGGGATAACCTTGTCTCCTTAGCTCACTGACTGCTTTTCTATATCAGGGCTTGCTTGGCAACTTCCCACTTTCTTTTAAAGACACGATCCGTCAGTCAGATTATCTGTCAGTCAGCTTGTCACAAAAGAAAGCAGGTCTAACGAAAGTTATCTAAGGGAGGAATTTTGCCTGCGGAAGAAAGCTAGTGTTTCTATACACTCCGTCTCATTTGAGGGAGCTAAAAAAAAAAAAAAAAGCGGCCCCTTTATTCAGCCCTACCTCGCTATAAGTGCAATAAGCAGGTGAAAGGAAATCTCATTTCACCCACTAGTATGCCAGCAGAGACAGCTAAATTTAATTCTGCAAACAACTAGCACACCTTCTCTATTTCTCACTGGTATTGCACTGGCATCATCTAAAACTTCTCCAAAGCTATTGTGACTTGGGCTATAAGAACTCCATGTAGACACAAATCTATTAATTTAAAAAAATATATGGCTACAGCCGGCAGCTGGTTAGCTTAACTTAGCATCTAGCCCTGGCTATTAACCACCACCTTTAAAGGTGTGTTCAGACAGAAAGTAAAGCAAAATTTCCACCTCATTCTTGCTTATTAGACTGTTGGTGAAGTCCATTAGAGAGGTTGGCTGCAGCCTTGTGTGTGTTTGTGTTCAGCTCAGCCTCTAATTGATCTCACCAGAAACTCTTTTTTTATTTGTTATTTCTCTCTGGTCTTTCCCCTTTTTCCTCTCCTGTCTGTTTATGAACTCGACTCATAAAGGCCCGGGCTAATTGATTTGATTTCCATTGACTTTGTATACAATTGGTCATACAGGCCTACAAGGTACATGGTGGATTTTTTTGTCATTTTATAGGGTTGCATAACGAGATCAAGTTCTATGTACAAAATGATATACAGTAGACTCGTGATTGAATAAAAGGTCATAGAAATAAAGCTATTTTACATAGCGGAGTGCTGAGGATCTCACAGTTTGAGGGAAGAAACTGCTCTGAAGTCTGGGTGTACAGCATGAACAGGAGGGGGCTGAGCACAGAGCCCTGGGGGACTCTGGTGTTGAGCCCTTAAAGGTTCATTGTTTAATATTAAAGAGGATCCATTGACAGAAATGCAATAACGATGTTTCCAGTGGTGTATAAAGACCATACATAATGAACCCTTACGTTTTTATTACCTTAGAATGAGCCATTACTATCGTCCTCTTACATGGTCGCCATGTTGCGCCACCATGTTTCTACAGGAGCCCAAATGGACAAACAGCTCTTCAGAGCGTGTTTCATCATTACGTTGAATAAGTTCAAAGAAGAAGAAGAAGAAGAAGTAATGTTAGTAGTACTAGTAGTAGTAGTTGACTGGTTAATTAGAAGTAAGAAAAGAAGAGAAATTTGGACAAATGGAGGCCCACATGTATTATTTAGCACAAGAGCCGACAGAGCATGTCGGCCATCGTAGCTTCTCCTGCGTGCTTGGAAAGGAAGGTGTGAGCAGCGAGTGATGGTGCATTTATGTGGTGATGGAAAAATTTGAATCTTATGTTGCTCCATAAATCTTTATTGCAAAAAAAGAAAATAATGTGGGACATAAAGAAGTATACAGAACTTTCATTCATGCAAAATCAAGTATTGCATGTAAAAACAAACATGTAATTTGTAACATGGTTATTACGGTTAATTTGCTGTCTATGTAGAGTGAACTAGATGTCAGCTTGTCATAAGCTCTAATAATGCTAAACCCACACATCCGTGTCGATTCCACAGGAGCACATGAATGCACCGTGAGTCGCTGATTGCAATTTGCAGCGGTCACCACTAGATGCCACTAAAACTTACAGAAACTGAACCTTTAAGTGGAGGTTCAGTTTACGTTCTGTCTGAAAACACAATAAAGCTTATTAATTGATATGTTATGTTGGGTGGTATTGATGTTCTCATCTAACACTTCCCTGAGAGGGAATGCATACTTTCCAAAATGTTCAACCATTTCATTCAATAATCAATTCATCAAAATATAGCTACGCTGAGTGGGATTATTTTTATGCCATTTCTGCTCTAATTTTTCACCGTGAGATTTTTTCACCTAATATTCATTGACCATTAATGGGAGGTCATAAATGAAGTCAACGATGCTGACCCCAATCAGACTCAGAGTCTCTTTGATTACTTGTCATCCTGAAGCCCACAGAACTCATGACCTTGCTCACCTCAGTTCAGTATTAAATGCTCAGAAAGCCATTTAGGGAGACGAAGAATATCTGGCATAAATTTGTCTCACCCATAGACAATCCCATCGCCAGCTGTTTTCTATGAAAACTCCAAATTACAGAGGGAGGGGACCGTCGTTTATAAACCGAAGCTAACATTTACCCAGCCGTGGCATTCCCACCCTGCTTACCAATTGTGCAAAGCTTCATTTATTAAATTTAGGCGGGACGGATTGCAAGCCAAGGTGCTTCGCTACTGGCAGAGTGAGAGACATCCGGTGAGTGACAGACGAGATGATGAGAGCAAGAAAGAAAATGGGACATGAGGGATGGGACAGAGAGAGAGATTACAGTGGAGAGGAAGAGAGAAAGAGCAGGAGGGGGAACGAGGAAGTTTACACACGCCATCTGTGCATCAAAGGTGTGGCTGTGCAGGCTTGCGCTCACGATGCACGTCTGTGTGATTGTTTTTGAACGAGGGATCTCTTGAATATAGATGGTCTCATTTTCACTCCCCTGTCTACTGAGATCCCCCATTTTTTTCTAATGTTTCATCTGCACATGAGTGAACAAGTCGGCTCCGCTGTTGTGTTGTTGAACCCTGCTGTGTGCAAAAAAACAAAAGACTTGTAATTATCTGCTGTATGCATGCAAGTAGCTGAACGTCATTCAGTGAAATTAAAACTTTTCCTGTCTGTAAAATGTTCTCCTGGCACCCATCAAGACTTTCACAGACAACTCCTTTGCTCCTCACATGCCAGACAAGCCAATTACTCTTTTCCTATGACTAAGATTTTTCCAGTCTAACCGGTTGATAGCTCTTTTTGCTTACAAGAAGATTCCCATCACAAAATGTTCCCTTATGAAGCATCACACATCAATACATAAAAAGGTAGATAAACTACTTTTTGCTTGTAAACATCACACAATGAGCACATTCACACTAGGGATTAAAAAACAGAATGATTACTTGTGATGCACCCTCTGCTCTCCAACTGTTTCATCACATTGGGGAGTTTACAATCTGAAAGAGAGTATCACAGCATTGCAGCCTCACGCCCACTAGTTTCTAGGTTATAGACTTCAAATCAAATCTACCGAAAGCCTTTGAGACTTCCAGAGGGAAGTCAGTTTTATTGAGAGCATTTGATTGGTCCTGGTCTCGCTTGGATTGCCCCTCTGAAAATAACAGACATAAATTCCTGCGTGGCTGCGATCCAAGCAGACACCTCCACGTGTCTGGGTAGAGAGCAGACAACGCCATTAGGGATGAAAAGCCCCAAGTGGCTCGTGTCCTTCCTGTCTCTAACATCCTTTCTTT